CAGTACTATGCCTTTAAAGTGCACTTTATGGTTAGCACTGCCTGCGTGGGTTTCCTCTGGATACTCCGTTTCCTCCCATACTCCAAAGACATGCTGGTAGGTGAATTGGCTCCTGTCTAAATTGTCCCTAGTATGTGTATGTATGAATGTGAGTTAGGGACCTTAGATTGTAAACCCCTTGAGGGTCAGGGACTGATGTGAATGTACAATATATATGTAAAATGCGCTGCATAAATTGACATCGCTATAGAAGTACCTGAAATAAATAAAGAGTTTTGAACAGATAAGACTTGACTTTTTACTGACCTCCAGAACGGATTAATTGGTTTTCAATGCATTTACGAATTCATTTTTAATCATGTCCCTGTACAGTATTTATGCCTTTAACCTCTGGGCCTTGACACCAAGCGGCCGCACATTTGCGTGTAATTAAGAAAAACATATGTGCTGACAGTGTGCGCCCTGCGCTCTCCCTGCACATGTCCGGTGCTCACGGAAAGGTCCCGATCTCCTCTTTCGATCGGGACCTTTTTCCGATCTCCTCTTTCGATCGGGACCTTTTCCGATCTCCTCTTTCGATCGGGACCTTTTCCGATCTCCTCTTTCGATCGGGACCTTTTCCGATCTCCTCTTTCGATCGGGACCTTTCCCGATCTCTTTCGATCGGGACCTTTCCCGATCATGTGACCGCCGTGACAGCGAATCACGGCGGTCACATGACCCTAAAACCCGTCTCTTGTCTTCTGAAACCCTTAGAGGGCAGGGAGGTGCCGGCGCCAAGGGGTTGAATTGCACTTTATAAAGAGTTTTGAATAGCTAAGACTTTTTTTTTTTTACTTTTTCATTTCTATGGGAAACCACGTTTAGTTTTATGAATGTTTTGCAATACAAAAAGTCCCACAGAACGCATTAAATTCATACACCAAGGTATGCCTGTACATGTAAAAATATTTTTCTTTTCTTAAAAAAAAAAAAAAACTAAAAATTGCTCAGAACCTACAAACATTAAAAAGTCCAACACCCACTATTTTATTCTCCAGGGCCTTAGCTTTCAATAAATATATGTCACACATTTGCAGTGGCTTATCAAACACAAATTTTCAGGAAAAAAAAAAGAAAACACTTTCATTAATTTTACTGCACACAAAAAGAAAAAAGGTGTTACACTGAGTAAATAGATACATAACATGTCATGCTTTAACCACTTTCCTGCAGCCCTAGAGTAGAACTACTGCTACAGGTTGGCAGGGCTGCGCAAAATCACACACATATATATCACACGTGATTTGCATTACCGGGTAGGGGGCTCACGCGCTGCCCTACCCATGCCACAATTGGCAGCTAAGAATGTCAATCATTGGGTTTCCGGCCGGAGATTCCCCACCGGCACCCAGCGATTGACGTGTGGAACTGACAGGGGAGAGACCTATGTGTAAACAACACAGGTCTCTGTCTCTCTCCTGCCAGCAAAGACATGCTGTTGTGTCTCTCTGCACAGCAGAGAAAGACACAGCAGCATGTCTCCCTAGTAAAACATACACAGCATGTAAAACACAAACGGCACACAGTTAACCCTTTGATCACTCCAGATGTTAACCCCTTCCTGCCCAGTGTCATTAGCAGTGATCACTGTATTAGTGTCATTGGGATGTCAGTGATAGTTATTCAGTTGCCACCCAGTGTCAGAATGCCCATCGCAGTCCCGCTATAAGTCGCTGATCACCGACATCACTAGTATAAAAAAAATTAAAATTCCACTATATATCAATAAAAAAAGAGGAAAAATCCTCCTGCGCTCCACAAGTACAAGAACCCTCAATAGCCGTGCCAGCTGCTACCACCCTTTCCTTATACCAGAGGACGCATCAGATAAAATACAAAAACGGTGAAACGCTATGCCAAATGTTAAACACAAAGCGCAATAATCGATGAATAAATATAAAAAAAAAATAAAAAAGAAATACACAAACCTATACACCTGTGTTATAAATAATGTACTAAAAACCCATATCTCCATAAATTAGAACATGTGCATGTCCAGTATATATACCGCCATTTGTAGACGCTATAACGTTCATGTAAACCAATTAATTTACACATTTTGATTTTTTTTTTTTTTTTTTTTTTAAGCAAAAACATGTAGCAGAATACATTTTAGCCTGAATGTATGATGAAATTTGATTTTTTTTTTACATTTTTGTTATTGGACATGTTTTATAGGAAAAAGTCAAAAACATTGTTTGTTTTTTAAAAATGTCAGTCTTCTCTTGTTTATAGTCCAAAAAACAAACACTGCAGAGGTTATCAAAGCTCTATTTGTGGAAAAAAAGGGCAAATTTCATTTGGGTGCAGTGTTGTATGACCGCGCAATTGTCAGTTAAAGTAACGCAGCGCCTGGTCAGAAAGGGGGGGGGGGGGTAATTCTTCTGAAGGGCAAGTGGTTAAAACTGCACACACCGGTGAGATGGCGACAATCTATGATACCTACAAATCTCCATAGGTGACACTTTATCAGTTTAGAGTTCAACAGGAGGCCTGGTGCTAGAGTTATGGCCTCACTCTGACATTTGCGGCAATACTTCACATGCGTGGTGCGATCGCCATTCACATATGCGGTGAGCAAGGGGGGGCAGGGCCTCTCTACCCCATTCCTGGCACAGCCTCCCAGTCCTTTAACAGGTTCGAAAAGGAGGGTATTGTGATCATGTGACCACTGTGATTGGCAGTCTCAGCAGTCACATGATCGGAAAGCTCCCAATTGCACGTATACATCGGGAGCTTTCTGGTACCCGCCAGTTACTGGGCTGGGAATGCCCTCTTAGCTCAGCAATGGGTTTTCTTAGGGACACATATATGCGGCCACTCAGTGTTAATGCACACCAGCTGAGAGACCGCATATATGGGTACAGCCGTCAAGAAGTGGTTACCGTTTTCAATTTAATTAAATTTTTTTTTTACTCAACTTTATTGAACATTCCTTGTGACAGCATGAGCAGTGACAGGGTCTATTGGGGGGCGTCACAGCTCGGCCAAGGCGGCTGTCGGGGGCGTCCCGGCTCGGCCAAGGCGGCTGTCGGGGGGCGTCCCGGCTCGGCCAAGGCGGCTGTCGGGGGGCGTCCCGGCTCGGCCAAGGCGGCTGTCGGGGGGCGTCCCGGCTCGGCCAAGGCGGCTGTCGGGGGGCGTCCCGTCTCACGCATGGCGGCTGTCGGGGGGCGTCCCGTCTCACGCATGGCCGCTGTCGGGGGGCGTCCCGTCTCACGCATGGCGGCTGTCGGGGGGCGTCCCGTCTCACGCATGGCGGCTGTCGTCGGGGGGCGTCCCGTCTCACGCATGGCGGCTGTCGGGGGGCGTCCCGTCTCACGCATGGCGGCTGTCGGGGGGCGTCCCGTCTCACGCATGGCGGCTGTCGGGGCATCCCGTCCTGGGCATGGGTGCTGTCAGGGAGTCCTGTCTTGGGCATGGTACCCATTGGGGTGTGGGAGACCACAGCAAGTTGTGTGGCCCCCAGACATCAGAATGTGGCCCCCTGAGAGAGGGCCCTGGCTGACAGGCAGCCTATACATAAAGTACACATGGAGCTCAGGAAAAGTTTCCGTTGTCCCGGGCCTGGCATGGCCCTGTAGGGGAGTGTGGTGGTGTCGGTGACAGGAGGGTGCTGGGAGTACACGGGGCACAAGGATGGTCTCTGGTGTCCCCTCTGTGCACTTCCTGTCCCCTATCCGTTTCCTTCTCCCCTCCCCCCTTCCCCCTCACCGTGCAGTGCGGACTCCTCTCCCCGTCGCTCTCCCCCTCCTCATCCGGTTGCCGGTTCGGTGCCATGTTATTGCCGGTCGTGACACCTCGTGCTCGGGACTCCCCGGACATCTCCGGAGCGCGACCCAGCGACACGCCCACCCCGCCACTCCAGCACACCTCCTAAACGATCGGCCCCGCCTACCTCCATTCATTTGTCCCCCGGACCGAGCTCCTGCCGGGCCCTCGTGACGTCACCGGCGTGCTGCTCTGAGGGTGCTCTGTGGAAGGACCGCGCGCACAGCTCTTCCCTTCCCAGTCCTGGCACAGGATGTGCACTAAGTGTGCTTCCAGAACTTTTCTCACTGCCAATAGCAACCAATCAGATTCACTCTTTTTTTTTCCCATGGAGGTGAAAGTAAAACAAGAATTCTGATTGGTTGACATGGGCAATGAGGACTCTTATGTTGTTCTAAAAGCCTCTGCACACATGGGTGCCATTTTACAGCTCCTCCCCCTCCCTCAGTTTATGGAGGTTTTATCCAGAGTACTTCACAGATTTTATTTGCATAAAGTGGTGATAGTAAATCTCGCTCTATGAAGCCTCCGTCATGCAGTATTTCTGATATAGGGCAGTATTTCTGATATAGGGCGGCAGGAAAGTGGTTAAAAAGCTTCAGATTGGACCAAGATCAGCATGATCCAATGCCTGTTCATACCAGTAAGGGTTTGTTTACATCGGCGAAACCCAACGTGATGAAATGCTCATTGCTTCCGGTGTCTTAGACCATAGAGATGATTATAGCCATTCTGGTCTTCGATCAGCTCTATGGTCAGTCAGGAGAAGCACCGGCTATATTCTTGGGTTCCCTGATGCTACTGTGGAACCCGAGAAAGTTGTTTGGAGGGGGGGTGGATGTCCCCTCCCGCCGCTTGTAAAAGCAATCCAGTGGCTAACTAGCTGCTTGGATTCCTTTTACAAGAAAGATGACTGCTAGCTGAAAAAAAAAAAACAATACCGGTATGATTCCTGTGGTTGCAGGAATCATCCTGGAATGACCACTCAAAGTCCAAAGAGAGCTTTCTTTCGGTGGTATTTGATCACCTGCGCGCTTTTTATTTTTCACGCTATAAACAAAAAAAGGCCAAAAATTTTGAAGAAAAATGATATTTTTTACTTTCAGCTATAAAAAATATATAGTAAACTCAAAGTTGGTTATAAATTTAGGCCAAAATGTATTCTGCTCCATGTTTTTGGTAAAAAAAATCCCAATAAGTGTATATTGATTGCTTTGTGTGAAAGTTATAGCGTCTACAAACTATGGTATAGATACTGCAATTTACGCCATTTTTTTGCTATACAGTGCTGCGCTAGTTTAACGGACAATTGCGCGGTCATGCAATATGGTACATAAATGAAATTTACATCCTTTTTTTCTCCCACAAATTGAGCTTTCTTTCGATGGTATTTGATCGCCTGTGCGGTTTTATTTTTTGCGCTATAAAAAGAAAAGGCTGACAATTTTGAGGAAAAAAAACAATATTTTGGACTTTTTGCTATAAAACATGTCCAGTAAAAAAAAAATGTAAAAATCTAATTTAGTCATAAATTTCTGCCAAAATGCATTCTGCGACATGTCTTTGCTAAAAAAAAAAACAAAAAACCCCAATACGTGTAAATTAATTGGTTTATGTGAAAGTTATAGCGTTTTCAAATGGCAGGAAAGATACTGGGATTTTTAGTTTTTTTTTATACTAATAATGGCGGCGATCAGCGACTTATGGCGGCGATCAGTGACTTATGGCGGCGATCAGCGACTTATGGCAGGACTGCGGCAGACATTCTGACATTGGGGGGTACTGACTTGGGGTCACTGACATCCCCAGTGACACCAATACAGTGATCAGTGCAAAAAAAAAAAACACTGACACTGTACTAATGGCACTGGGGAGGAAGGGTTAAGTTTATTATTCAGGGAAAGGGTTAACTGTGTGAGGGGAGTGTTTTACTAGGGGGAGGGGGTGTGTACTGCAGGGAACACCACTGGTCGGGAGAGAGAAACTCTTCTGTCACGATCAGCTTGTCCTGGAGCTGTCAGGGAACTGACAGAAAGCACAGCTACTGCAGCTGTGCTCTCTATCAGCGATTGCCGCCGATTGCCGGGACATAGCCGATAATCACCGGCTGTAACCCGGCGACTGACATCTGCGGCTGTGATCGGCAGGGCAGGTAGGGCGGCGGCGCGCCTCGCGCGGGCCCCCTATCAGTTTTAAAAACACACGTTTTAAAACGTGCTTTTGCCCAGCCGTGACGCCCTGCCACCGTATTTCTACAGTGGCTGGGCGGCATGTGGTTAATAAAGTACTTTTATCGGGAGAACGAGCTGCTGGCTCTTCACCTTGTAATCTAATGCTGTTTAAAATGCCAGGATGATGACACTGTGAGCTTTGGAGCACCCTTGTTCTACCTGCAGGGGAAGTCAACTAGGCATGCACTGTGTGGAGGAGCAGAAAATTGTATGAATAGCCCCAGTTCTGTTTTTTTTACATATAGATTAGGGAAAGGTTATAACCCGTCAGTGTATTTAGTCCTGTCTGTTAACCATTGAGGAGATCTCCTCACACTTTCTTTCCGTGAAATGCAACAGGCTATGAGAGGAAATCTCTACAAAATTAGGGGAGTTTCCCTCATACAACGTTGTCACCTTTGTCACACTGCCTTCCCATACAAACAACTTATTGAAGATCTGCAGTCCTTTTCCATGAGCATGAAATAGGGATTTAGACTTGGACCTCTCAGAAAAAGACTGGTCCAATATAAACGCTAACCTCCTCAAGGGGTCCATCAATGTGAATATTCAAGAAACCAACTATAAACTTTGCAGACGGTGGTAATGAACCCCAACATGCCTCCACACCATTTTGCCCTCCCTGCCAGAAACTTGCTGGTGCTATCAGTCCGACATAGGTATGTTTACTGCATATATAGTGGTCATGCCCTCAGATACACCCTTCTTGGACTCAAATTTGTTTCCTTGTAGGGGAAATAATGGACTGAGACCTTCTTTTTGTCCCTTATTGCTACACCACACAGATTTGTCCACCTCCAAGTATAAACACTCTCTCAACATATGCTTCCAAGTAACTCATCATTAGATTTCGTAAATCTACCAAAACCCTAGAGATCTCCAGCTGGTTCCACCACATTGACAAGGTTGAAGAGATGGAGGTAACAGTGTCCTCGTACACCTCCATGTTCACTAGATGTTTCCTATTTACTCAGACCTCTATAAGCAACATATCCCCCTCCAGCCAATACCTTGAGGAGTTACTTGGTATGACTTTCTTTGATTATTTAGTGATTGACTTTTCCAATTGCCTGGCGTTGCCTACTGTAAGTGAGCTAGATGAGCACATCACAGTAAAGGTACCCTGAGTGCAGATGAATGACCCCAGATTAGGTGCCCAATGTAGCCTAGAAGAACCCCCTCGGGGGTAGTCCTCTTGTGTGACCCACACTTGATGCCCAACAAGGAGGTGAAACATGGAAGAAGTGTCACCATAGTACCCCATGCGGCCTTATATTGAGGTGGACCCACTGGAAAATCCCTGGGGATCTCTCCCCCACTCAAGACCCCGAATCCCCTTTCACCCCCCCCCTTCCCTCTCCCCAACCCTGATAGGACTTTGTTCTAATTCTATCTTCATATCCCATGAAATGAAATTTACAAATGCCACCTGGCCTGCTATTCCCTATATTGTTGATGCCTTTTAAGAACTACGTCTATTATTTCATATTATAGTTTTCTTTTTGTTTTTTTGTGACTTGCATTGTTACTATACTACTGTGACCAACCACCCTTAAAGTGATCGTTTGAATTGTAACCTGAACTATTGTGATGCCCATTGCATAGGGATATGTCTCTGAGCTTTGTCACATCTGTTGTATTGTTTTGTACCATAATTCTTTAAACAAAACTTTATTAAAAAAAAAGAAAGTTGTCACCTGAACAGGTCACTCTTTGGAAGATGACCATTGCCTCCTGTTCCAAAAACGATTGTAACATTTTGGATTTCCCCTCAGTTTTTATCTCACTGACAAGGAACACCAGGACAAATAACGACACTGGCCCTGGTTCTACTGACCACATGTGTAAGGAGCATTCTTCTCATTGACCATCATGCTAATGTAACGTTATCAAGAAGTCATTGAGACCAGAAAGTTATTTCAAGGGTTCCTCAATGTTAACAAGGTTGAGAAAGGCTGTACTGGACAATAAGAAGGATGCATGCTATGGGATAAAGAATTCCTTGAATAATATGTAACATAACCAGGGCTACTAAATATATTATTATTATACAGTATTTATAAAGCGCCAATAGTTCACTCAGTGCTGTACATTACAAAGGGGGACAGAACATGTGACAGAACAATACCAATACAATGCAAAACATGAGGGGATTGAGGGCCCTGCTCTTTCGAGCTTACAATCTAGGAGGGAGGGGATAGTGGTACAGGAGGAGATAGCTGTGTGGGATGGAGTGGTAGGAAGAGTGGAGGAGGTCGGCAAGTTAGCAGGGGGTGGGGTAGGCTTCCCTGAAGAGATGGGTTTTCAGGGTGCACCTAAAGGAGAGGAGAGTAGGTGATAATCTGATAAGTTGGGGCAGGGAGTTACAGAGGATGGGTGACACCCTGGAGAAGTCCTGGAGGTGGGCATGGGAGGAGGAGACCAGGGAACTAGAGAGAAGGAGGTCTTGTGAGGAGTGGAGTGTGCGTGTTGGGTGGTACTTGGATATTAGGTCAGTGATGTAGTTCGGGGCAGTATGGTGGACAGCTTTGTACGTCAGTGTTAGGATTTTGAATTTGATCCGTTGCGCAATCGGAGGCCAGTGGAGGGATTGGCAGAGGGGGGTGGCAGAAACGGAACGGTTGGAAAGGTGAATGAGTCTGGCAGCTGTATTCAGGATCGACTGAAGCGGGGATAGCCAGCGGCGAGGCAGGCCAGTGAGGAGGGAGTTGCAGTAGTCAAGTCGTGATATGATGAGGGAGTGGATGGGCTGTTTAGTGGTTTCTGGGGTTAGGAACGTGCGGATTTTGGCGATGTTGCGGAGGTGGAGTCTGCACGAGTTAGTTAAAGATTGAACTTGGGGCTCCTGTTCATTTCTTCCATTCTTTGTGCTGCACCACAGATAATATTTTTCTCTCTGTCAATGATTGGCATTCCAACTGATGAATAAAAAGGAAGATGGACAATTTTAAAAGCATGTACTTGCTGTATTAGTACTCATTTAGCACCATGTCTACAAAAACAGAATCAATATTTTTTTAATTGGAATGGTAGCCTGTTACCTCAACCAGCTCTGCGGCATTTTGCATGAACCAGAAATATGCCATATTGGCAGCTCCAGAGTGGTGCCATAGTCTAAAAAACTGGGCTATGTTGTCAGAGGTTCAGAACCAAGAAGGTATTGTTACTATTCAGGGCACCATTCTGTTATGGCAAGCCCAGCATAAGGCTTAGTATTGCAGCAGTGGCCTTTGCTGTTTGCACACAAGATATGTGTAATGTTCCAGCTGGCAATGATCAATCAGGGGTCAACAGTGGAAAGTACACATTAAATCTGAAAGTGCTACTCTAAACCACATAAAGGGAAAATGCACCTCATAATTTCTCAACAAAACATCAAACTAGCGAGGGGGGGGGATCAACTTTTGTATTATGTCTCCTAGATTGTAAGCTCGAAAGAGCAGGGCCCTCGAACCCCTCATGTATTGTATTGTTACTGTCTTGTCTCATGTTCTGTCCCCTTTGCTATTGTACAGCGCTGATCAAATCCTTTGGCGCTATATAAATACTGTATAATAATAATAATAATATTAAAAAAGATGAGAAAGATGGGAACTCCGTTCCTACTTTTCTGTAACATGGCACAAATTGTTAGAATGGTGACAGTGGCTTTGTTACATAGGGTCATTCTCTTAACTTGGCATGAGTCTGGTCTCCCTTGAATGCTGATATTTAAAAGATATTAATGTAGCAACTAAGAGCTTGCATAACAGGGCAGATGAAGCCAGATATATTGATTTGGCAGAAAACAAGCTTAGAATAACTTTTAGTGAAAGCCAGAAAAAGTGCAACCCAAACAAAAAAAGAAGTGACCTTGTGAGTTCAGTCTTCGGTACTAAAGACTGATGTGACATCCAGGTGAACCGTGCATAGCTAAAGTATGTAGTCCCAGCCAGTAATGCAAATACACTTTCAAGAGTTTGCAAATTTAATCAATTGTAATTAGAATTTTCTGTTTAAGTGACACTAAATTCTGGTTTAAAAAGTGATATTCAAGTATGTATTGCACTCCTTAAATGTGTCTCAGAGGCTGACACAATTGTATATTCTGCTGCAAGTTCATTACACCCCGCAGGCCCGGACTGGGGCAAAAAATAGGCTCGGGAATTTTGGACTGAGCATCCCAAAGCCAGGGACCCTTTCCTCATAGCACAGTGGTGCAACGCCAGGGCCTGGTCGCAAGAGCGATCTTTGCGGCCCTGGTAGTTCCACCACCAGTATAGAAAGAAAGAAAGAAAGAAAGAAAGAAAGAAAGAAAGAAAAAAAAAAGAAGGAAAGGAGGGAAGGAAGGAAGAAGGAAAGGAGGGAAGGAAGGAAGGAGGAAAAGAAGGAAGGAAGAGGGAAGGAAGGAGGGAAAGAAGGAAGGAGAGAAAGAAGGAATGAGGGAAAGAAAGAGGGAGGGAAAGAAGGAATGAGGGAAAGAAAGAGGGAGGGAAAGAAGGAAGAAGGGAAAGACGGAAGGAGGGAAAGAAGGAAGGAGGGAAAGAAAGCGGGAGGGAAAGAAGGAAGAAGGGAAAGACGGAAGGAGGGAAAGAAGGTAGGAGAGAAAGAAGGAA